CCCGTCGGTCACGTAGCGGGTGAAGTGCAGCTCGTGGCAGCTGTATTCGGACACGTCTGCGGAGAGAGGCGCACGTGAGGGCGGAGGCCGGGCCGACCACGCCTCCCCGTCTGGCCAGCTCCCTCCACACCACCTCGCCTTTCCCAATCCTGCCTCTCCAGACGCTTTTGCCCCTGGACGTCTATTATGGGAAGGGCCCGGCTGGTGGAAAGATTTCCCCTAAAACTTTGGAGCCAATTTCTTTCTTTCTTTTTCTTTTTTTTTTTTCTTTTTTTTTTTGCTGCAGTTCAAATACCAGCTCCATCACTGTGTGATCTTGGGAAACGACTTCACCTCTCTGTGCTTGCTATCTGAGGATCAGTGAGTTAATCCGTTACATATATACTGCAGGGAACACCACCAAGCACACAGTAAGAGCTGGAAGTGTTGGCTGGCTGTTATGTGTTATTATTTCTCTCCGAGGGGGGCCTCTTTGTTATATTAAGTCACACCTATGCCACAGGGCCCCTGACCATGGCAAGGCTGATACTAGCCGCACAATTTGCATGCCTCTGGCTTCTCCCAAATTCCTTTTCCAGACACTTGGGAGGGGCCTGAGGTGATGGGAGAGGAGTAGGGTAGGGGTTAATTGAAGGTAATAAATCAGGGCAGCTGCGGAGGAGGAGAGGGATGGAAGGGAGGTGGAGAGGAGGAGAAGTCATTAGACTTGAAAGAAGCCAAAGGCAGCATGTCCAACCCCCTCCTTTTCACCGACAGCACTGAAGCCCGAGAGGGAAAAGCACTGGCCCAAAAGGCAGAGCTGGATCTCCTGGCTCCACTTCCCTGGGGCCCAGCACCGCTTGGCTCCCACGTGGGTGGAAGCTGCGTGCCCAAGCTGGGCTCGGGGGGCAAGGGGGTGCTTTTTACTATAGTTACTTCCCTACCAGAGAGGGACCCAGCTCTGACGGAAAACCTACAGGTTCAGCTGCCACAAACATTGAAGTACCTGTTGGGTACCAGGTACTCTGCTGGGCACACCTCTTATTTGTGCCATTTGAATGGACACCTGACAGTGGCCCAGGCTTGCTTTCTGGGTGGGGGGAGATTGTCCTCTGAGGCCTGACTTGGTCCCCTGAAGTCACCTTGATGATGTCTCCTATCGTGGGCTTACATGGGTGGGAGCTTTTTAAATAGCTGGTCCTCCTATGAGCACCTGTCCACCCCAAGGGTCTCATGGGGACCATTCCATGTGACACCAAGGGATGAAAAATAGTCCTAAGACCACAACCAGAGATGGGGGCAGAGAAGGCCAGGCAGCCACCCCCGGGCACGGAGAGCACGCGCAGCAGGGGGATGTGGGCTTGCCTTCCTCCTGTGGCCGGCCTCCTGGTTTCAGGGTTGGCTTGGCTTCCTCGTCCTGCTCCCAGGCTGCAGGAGTGGTGTGTGTGGGTGGCTTATTTGCCCAGGGAAGGAGGCTTTGGGGCTTTCCAAGAATAGTGCCCCACGGTCAGGTCCTTCCTCTGCAGAGGGTGACTTTGTTTGGGACAAGTGGCTCCCTTGGGGGCTTGTGGCCTCTCACGGGAGCCCAGGGAAGTGGACACCTCATACCTGGGTCCCCTTGCAGCCCACTGGTTGGGAGGCAGGGGGGATGGGATGCAGGAGCCTGGGAAGTGGGCTCCTCTCCCACCTGGGCAATGGCCTGAGGGCAGTGAGGCCCTCACTCTGAAGTGTCAGCCAGCCCCCGCCCCCAGCCATTCCTGCCAGCTGCAGAGCCAGCTGTGCACAGTGCCCCCGCCCCCAGGCTTCTCTGTGCAGCCCAGGTGTACCCTCCACTGGGGCCACTGACTTTTCGCTAGGGTCAGGCTCCCTCCCCAGGAATGGGCAAGGCTGGGTCTGAGGTAGGGACACAGGATGGATGCTGGGCTCAGTAGACACCTGTGTCTGCTCCCTGCACGGAGGATGCTGATGCTGCTTCCCCTCCGGGGCCTGGGCCCAGCAGCCACCCACACTAGAGGCTAAAACGGTGCCTACACTCCCGTTCAAGGGCCAGCTCACGAGGCAGACCATGCGCAGGGGGAGCTGATGAGGTGCCTCTCTGTCATCCCTTTCCCACTGCTCTGGGGGGATTTGCTCTGGCTTTTGATCCCCAAGACCCCACCCATCATCCCCCACCAGGGCTGTCTTGGAATTGGATCAAACTGGATCCAAATCTCAGTTCTTCTACTCACTACCAGACTACTTAACTTATGGAACCCCTATTTCTTCACCTTCAAGCTGGGAGTTCACCTCATGGGGCTCCCACGTGGACGATCCTGGGCTATAGCACACGCACAGCCCACAGAGCGTCTGGCCTCCAGCAGGAGCTTATAGGTGTGAGGCTCCCTTGCCTTGTCCTGTCCCCAGTGATGCTGGCAGCTGGACTGACTCCTGAACCTCAGGAAGGGGTTCCTTAAACCTTCTCCTTTCCCAGCCTGCCTACCTCCATCCTGCCCCAGGCTCTCTGCCAGCCCCCTGCCAGCCTCAAGTCCCTGCACTGGATTCCAGGGCTCCATTGGCATGCTATCCTTCCCTGCCTCTGGGCAAGACCGTCCCTCCACCCATTGCCAGCAGCACCTGAGGGTCCACCCCAGCCTTCAAAACGTCCCAAAGAGAACCCTCCCCTCAGAGGAGCCCTGTGCCACAAGTGCTCTCTGCCACCCCATACCTTTGGTCTCAAAGGGGTGGTGGGGAGGCCTCCCTCCGTTCTCAGCCCGGTTCATGGTCTTGTTGTTCTCCAGCTCTGGCGGGGGCTCGGGGTACTCGCCCAGCTCCGGGATGATTTCCGTGGCATCGTTCTTGAAGGCCGGCCACCCCTGGGCCTCCACCGCACGGAAGGCTGAGTGCACCAGCAGGCAGACGAGACACAGGGCGAGAGAGAGCTGCATGGTGCCAGCTGGAGGAGGGCACCTGGCCTTCCAGTAGCACGGGCTCCAGTCCCCAGTCCAGGCACGTTTGCCTTTTTAAAGCCCCCTCTGCCTCGTGCCAGCCAATGACAGGCTGGGGCAGGGCTGGCCCCATGCTTCCCTCAGCCCAGGGGGAGGGAACAGGGTGTGCTCAGAGCAAGCCCTCTCCAAAGACTTCTCCTCAAGTGCAGCAAACTCCCAAGTTGCTGCCGGTGCTCCCGGTGACTCAGAGAGGGGCACCTCCTCTGTGCGGGCGGCTGTGGTTGTCACTTATCAAAATGAGCCCCAGCTCTTCACCTCGACTTCCCTGGGCCCCCCGGGCTTTCTCAAAACAAACTTGGCACCAGCTTAACAAAGGAAACTGCAGTTCCGAGTCCTCCAGAGGGCTGAGCCCAGCCGATCCCATTTCTCAGGCCACAGTGCGTGTCCTGGGACCCCTGAGTCAACGGAAACACATTATCTGGAGCCACTGAGGCCGTTTAGAGTCATCGTGCTGCCATGGTCTCCAGGTGCAGAGGAATGTGTTTCGAAAGACCAGTAAGATCACTATCAATGGGGGTTTTCAAGCCACAGTCAATGGCTTATTCAATCGAATGGGATAACATATAAGTTCAGAAAATCAAAATAACTTTTCTATTACTTTAGCAAGCAAATAATGACGGAAGCCAAGTCAGCAGGGTTAAAATACTAAACAGGCATTTTTACCCAAGCATGGTGGCTGCCATGCTTCACATGGTGACAGGCACTTTTTGGCCCGGACACTCCCTGTGGCTTGCAGGCTGACGTCCCGAAGGCAGTCATTTCCCCAGCCAGGCTGTGGGCAGGAGTGGAGAACACAAAATCCCTTTTCTTAGCAAAAGCCAAGGCCAACATTTTCAGTGTTGACATTTTTCCTTCCTTGTCTCCCAGCCCATTACATGTTTCAAAACCAGCTTTGAGTCCTCTCTGGGAGATCTCACGGGTGCCTACCACGGGGCGCATTCCATGAAGCCCTCCCAGGTCCGGCCAGCCACCGAGAAACCAAAAGGAATGGCTCCCGCAGCCTTGGAGCGGAATGAGGGCCTGGGAGGGGCAGAGGCGGGGAAGGAGGTTCACACCTGAGGTGCAGGAAAAGAAAGGAGCCCCGCGGAAGCTTTCATTGCAGATGGATTGAGGAGGCAGCGCTCCTGGCCCTGGAGGAGACCGGGAAGAGGGCTGTGGCTCCGGTCCCCTTGGTATTTTCACTGGGCCATGAATCAGCCTGCCCCACCTGCAGAGCATCTGCAGGGCCTCTGCCACCTGCCTCGACTTGTAAGTCGCCGCCGTGTCCATCTGCGGCCACCGGTCCCTCCTCCTTTCCATCATCCATCACTCAACACATGAATGCAGCTGCTCTGACAGTTTTACAAGCCAGACAGAAGCCCCTGCAGGAAGGGCCCTCTCTGATACCTGCTTCCTTCGTCTTTCCTTCGGGGCAGACGAAAACAGCTGTGGCCATTGTTGGGGGTGATCTATCTCTCCCAACAGAGCCCCTGTGTTGTGAGAAGCTGGTCCTCCGTGCCCCCTCCCCTGTCTGTGACCCTCCAGCCTCCTTTTCCCTTCCTCTGGAATGTGAACCGTTAACCCTATGGTGGCCGGACACTGCCTTCTTGTCCGGGACTTGGGAGAGGGCCATTCTGATGCCCAGAGACCCTGAGCTGGCGGGATGGATGCTGGAGCCCCACCTGCTGTTGGAGGCGGCAGGCCCATCGCATGAAACGGAGACGTGGTCACCATCCTTGGGACACTTCTGCCACCTGCCGGAGGTGGAAGGAGAAGCCAGCTACTGGAGGACGGCGAAGGTCAGGATTGCATTTATTTCATTATTTTATTTGAAACTAATGTTAGAGAAAGAGAGAGAGAGAGAGAGAGAGAGAGAAGAATCCAAGTGACTTGAATCTCTAAATTATCCCCAAACTTTTGACGTGTTCTCTGCCAATGTAGAGCCATGATTTCCGCAGATTGGCTCAGAGACAACCCAGCTATGATGCCATCTGCTGTTTGTTTTAAATCCTCACCGAGGATATTCTTTCCATTTATTTTTATTTTGTTTTGTTTTTGTTTTATTGATTTTCTACAGAGAAGAAGGGAGAGGGATAGAGAGTTAGAAACATCGATGAGAGAGAAACACCGATCAGCCGCCTCCTGCACACCCCCTACTGGGGATGTGCCCGCAACCAAGGTACATGCCCTTGACCGGAATCGAACCTGGGACCCTTGAGTCTGCAGGCTAACGCTCTATCCACTGAGCCAAACCGGTTCTGGCTCCATTTATTTTTATAGAGATTGAGAGGGAGGGCAGCAGGGAGAGAGAGAGAGAGAGAGAGAGAGAGAGGAACATAAACGTGAGAGAGAACATTGATTGATTGCCTTCCATATGTGCCCTGCTGGGGATCGAATCTGCAACTTTTCAGCATATGGGACAATGCTCCAACCAACTGAGCCACACTGGCCAGGGCACCATCTGCTTTTTTGCTTAACATCAACTCAACTTTATATTTACCCAGTCCACAAGCTTGTCGTTCAGAGCTAGACAACGCTGCGGGAGGCAAACCCCTAGGGTTTTAGCTGACTTTTGTTGTGGGTAGTTTAGGTTACATCCAATGTTCCCCTATTCTCGGCACAGGTGCTATGAACATCCTATACAAAGTAATTTTTCAAATTAAAGTTTTAATTTTGAGATCATTGTAAATTTGCATGCACTTGTAAAGAATAATTTTTCTAGGATATACCTAATAGTGGCTTCCTCCTAGGAGAGGGATTGAAGGTTTGGGATAGAAGATTCACTTTTCATTATAAGCCTTTTGTATTGTTTGAATTGATTACTATGTATTACTTAAAATGTTTTAAAAATTATACTTAAAAAACACTTTTACCAGTTTTACATCTTAGTGCTCTGCCTTAAGATTTTGTGTAAAAATATAAAGGTTATGTTGCCACAGCGGTCTGACAAATAATGAGTTCGCCTAAGTGCCTCTAAGCGAAGACTAGAGAGGCTCTTTTGCTGTCCAGACTTTGGGACTAAAGGCACCCAACTCTGGGTTGTTTATTCAGAGGAAAAAAGGCAGTGCTTATGGTAGGGGAGACCATGTTAATGGTGGGATTTAAAGCATCTGGGGTCGGGGATATGTTTTGGGACTGTCCATTTGCAGGATAACAAATCCCAAAATGCCACCCAGTCATCTTCACGTGAGGCCACCTTGAGACTGTCACCCCAACCCCTACTTCTTAGAACCATAAATCTTACCTCCCTCATTAGGGGTGGGCCTTTGCACTCAAGAATATTCCAGTCTATTATACCTCAATTAATCTGAATTTTTTAAATGAAATAAATAAAAAGACTTGCTAACACAGGACATTTCTGGTACTGGAAGGATGTTCAGCAAATGTCTACTGTATAATTATAATCAGCATGGAAGGCCAATTTTTAGATGATTCTTTTTAAAAGTTAGAAAAGGCAAACAAAAGGTAAGCATTAACGCAACCAACTGTGATAGCAGCAAATGTCTACTGTATAATTATAATCAGCATGGAACCTATCACTAGCTCAGGAGGGCCAATTTTTAGGTGATTCTTTTTAAAAGTTAGAAAAAGCAAACAAAAGGTAAGCATAAAAGCAACCAACTGTGATAAGGACCGAAAAGAGACCATTTCTTGGTAATATAAGACATTTATTTTGGTTACAGTATTAGTATTTTAACACTGATTTGTGATATAACAGACATTAAACTTATTTTAAAAAAACAAACCATTTAATACCTCCCCCCTTTTCTGTCCAGAAAATTTGTTACTTTCACAATCAAGTTACCCTGAAAGCTGACAGGAGGGAAGGTAAGCTTCCAGCCAATCTGCTCTCTCCGCCGGAGACGGCCTCTGACCCAATCAGAATAAAATCTTGACTTGGAAGGACCATCATCGTTGGCTCTTCAGTGATACTTGACACCGGTTTTATAACAGGAAATCTCCTGCGAGAAAAGCTTATATCTTTATTATAAGATCAGTGCTTATTCTGATTAAAACATTAGCATCTTATTAACATTAACTTGTGACACAAAAGGCACCAACGTTCATTTTCAAATCATCCCTCACCACGGGTGGACCGCAGCGCCACCTGGCGGTCACCGTATTATGACATACCCTCTAACTTTCAGCTGGCGGTCAATTCCAAGTGGGGATTCTTAGAAAACCCGAGTGTCAGAGTCCCCTTGTTTTGTAGATGCTGATTTATGCTCTCCAGGTAATTCAGAGTGGCAGGGAAACAGACCAGCCGGTGGCACGTGTACTGCTTTAGATAGAGGAGACGCTTGGTGCTCTAATTTGGGGGTCTGCCAGTCGAAGAAAGGGATCCGGTCAGGGGAGGGAGTGAGGGCACCCTGAGTTCCTAGTCCATCACTTCCCGGGGGTAAAGCTGCCCAGGAACAGCTTCCCCTCAGCGCTGGGCACGTGTTGACTCTTACACGATAGAATTTGATGTTACTTTACTCAAAGAATTAGGAGCTAAATCTTGTGAAGTAAATACGGGGATTCTGAGCCTACAGACTGTCAAGAAATCCCAGTTATCAGCATAAAAGTGGTCCCAAAGTAAAGGCAATAATTCTCCCACTGACTTTTTTCCCCCAGGCCCCCATGAAGAGGCCTTCAAGGGCTCCTAAGTCGCTGTGGCCGTCCTGTGGGGTGACCACTGCCTGGGCCCCATATCCGTAGCCTCTTCCAGAAGTGGAGCAGAAAGCTCTGGCTTAGGGAGGCTACATGTTTCCTGGAAGAAGAGTCACACATTCGAACCCAGTCTTTTACCTCCTGTTCCTGGACTACGGATGGCTTTGTGCCAACTTTGTCTCAACCTTCACTAGACCCCCCTTGGCACCACAGCTTGAATCGCTGTTCTCTGTCCACAAAGCTAACTGGCCCTTGCACACACGGGCTGGGCCAAGGGCAGGTGCAGCACACCTGGATGGGGGGGGGGGGGGGGGGGGGGGGGGGGGGGCTCATTTCTT